TCATTACAGAAAAACAGGTACCTGGATCTCTAAGAGCAGTAGACGGAGGTACTGCACCTCCCAGAGCAGCAGGCACAGAGACCAGGCACAAGAGCCCTGTACAGACTTCATCTCTGGACTCCAACATAGGGCATTCATTTTTAGCATCAAAAACATTTTATACAAGTTTATTTCTTTGTTAAAAAAATGTGTACATATGTACACACAAGTGTCTGCGCCTACACATGGAAGCTAGAGGATGGCCGTGCAAACCTCCTCACAAAAAAGACGCTCTGGTGGAGTACAGGACATCCACCCCCTGCCCCTTCCCTCACTGGACACGTGGACAAGTTCAAGAGTTGGTGGCATTGTCCTGCATTAGAATGGAACAGAGGCTGAGCCTGCAAATCCCCAGTGTGTACCATAAGATAAAACTGTGAGCTCTTGCTGGGCGGTGATGGTGCACTCCTTTAAGCCCAGTACTGGGGAGACAGAAGCAGACGGATCTCTGTGAGTTCAAGGCCAGCCTGGTCTACAGAGCGAGTCTCAGGACAGGCTCCAAAACTACACGGAGAAACCCTGTCCCAAAGAAACATAACAACACAAAACAACAACAACAAAAACCAAAACCTAAGAGCTCTAATAGCACTCTCTAATCGGGTGAGACTCAGGATAAGTGCCTACTTAGGAAACGGCAAGAAGGTACCATAGCACAGCACAAAGGCACTAAGTTTAAAACGCATCTAAACAAGTGGACATCAGAATGGAGACTGGCAGGCTTAGAATTACATTAATTTAAGGTAAACATCGCTGCAGTCTTAGCGCAAACATCTGTGTAAAGATGATCCAAGACTAGGGCAGAGAAGAACTTAGTGGTAGGCAGTACAGTGGCACATGCCTGTAGTTCCAGCACCAAAAGGCTGCCGATCTCTTACGTGAGACTCCATCTCAGAAACTGAAGTGTTGGGTGCGGTGGCACATGGCAGGCAGATCGACGTGTACCCTGTCTGGCCTCGAGTTCCAGGCCAGTCATGGTGGCACAGTGAGATCCTGTTGCAAAAAACTAAAGTTCTTTGTTCAGCTCTGTTAGAAAACTATTGTCTTGAGCAAACTACTTCGAAAAATAAAATAAAACTTAAAATGTGAGTAGGGAGGACAGTTAGAGAAAACATTGCTATCTAATGTTCACTTTATACTTGCAAAACAACAGTCTATTGCTCTTATAAAAGAAGCAGGAAAGGGTGATGTAATATTTTTGCATTTCCCAAGGGAGCTGAGACAAGTGCCTGCAGCCCACGGGGCAGCACTTTTTTGTGTGTGCAGCTATAGATTGGAAAGGCTGTTGGCCCCAAAGCAGCCCCAGCTAGAAGAGAAATGCAAAGCTCAAGACAAGGCCTGGTACTGTGAGCTAGTATGAATGGAGGGGTTTAAGATAGAGTGAAATGGCCCAGAGAGCTGGTGCTGTAAGGGTCAGCAGTGGGAAGGGAGAGTCTGCTCGCTCATAACCCCTGCCTTGTAAGAGCTAGCCCAGACTAACGATAGACGTTTCTGTCCACAAAATGAAGATGCAATCACCAGGCCAGGGGGTTTGCTTTCTGGTCTATAACACATTTTATTCCATCAATACACGAGCTTTAGTCAACAATTTCTTTTTCTTCCTTTCCTTGTCCCTTTATATCTGATAGAGTCTTGTTATATAACACAGGTTGGCCTTGAACTCAAGGCAATCCTCCTGTCTCAGTCTCCCAAGTATAGAGATTATAGGGGTGTTATATCTGGCTTTAGACCATTTTAAATGAGTGGTAAGATTAATGGATACATAAACACTATGTATAATGTATAAAACACTATGTATAAATGTATAAAAACATTTTCTCATTTGCTGAACTGTGAATTTCTAAGTATTAAAAAAAAGTGAATGAAAAATTTTGTAAACCTTCCATGACAGACAGCAGACAGAAAAAGATGGCCCTGATGGCACAGTCATGTAATCCCAGATCCTTGGGAGGCTGAGGCAAGAGGTCGGCAAACTCAAGGAATGTCGGCAAGTTCAAGACCAGTTAGCGGAATTTGCAGCCTCTTTACTCAAGGGGGTGGGGAGGGGGGAATGGACAAGTAGCTCAGGTCAGCACACTTGTTTAGCATGCACCAGGCCCTGGAGCCATCCCTAAAAAGGAATGAAGAAAACAGGAGGAAGAAACCTTGGCTGACTTCAACTACCCACAGGAGCTCTGACAGCAGACACTGGAGCGCAATCTCCAGACACACAGATTCAAGAAACCTGAAGCCTGACATTCACCAGCCCAGAGTAAGATGATTGGGAGGAGACACTTGACAGGAACAAAATGGAAAACAGGACTGAGGCATGCACCACGGAGACCCAGTACAGTGACAGTGACAGCAACTGGAGCTGTTAGCATTCTGGGTTTTTGTGAGCAAGTTTCTGAGGTGCTCATCACTTCGGCAGTAGTTATTTTTGGTGAGCATTTAATAGCAAGGCAGGGCTTTCTCTATTGTAATTCACATTTTACTACCTGTTCTGACCTAGAAACTGGATTTCGGACATATAATCATCCCTACCATTTCAGCCTGAACTAAGTTTCATATTGGTGGCAAAAGAACAAAACTTGGGCATTAGTGAGATGGCTCAGGGGGTAAAGGTGCTTGCTGCACAAGCCTGGCAACTGGAAGTCGATCCTCAAAACCCATGTAAACCAAGAGAAAGAGAACCAATTCCAGAATTGTTCTCTGGCCTCCATAAGTACTCCCTCCCTCCCCCCTCACATATACACACAATAATAATAGATTTTTAACGGTTTTAAAGATGGAGATCTCCCTATACCGCCCAGGCTGTGCTTGAACTTACAGTCCTTTCCGGAATTACAAGTCTGCGACACTGCTAGGCACAGAGCTCATTTCTCAATACACCTTGGTGATTCTTTCCAGCTTCTTCACAGGGAGGATTAATAAGAGTGACTTCAAATCCAGCTACTTACCACAGCCTAAGGTCTCAAACAAGGAATGATCAACAAAAACCAGAAAGTCTACAACACAGGTGCTTCATAAATAAATCAATAGAAAAATGGAACACGCACATATAAATTAAGAAACTAAAGCGTTGCCGGGCAGTGGTGGTGCAAGTCTTTAATTCCAGCATTTGGGAATATTAAAGTAATTTTCTAATTGCTTTCTACTGTAAAAAAACGTGGTGAGTTTAAAAGATAATCATCCCATGACATAAACTAATTGCCTTTGCCCACGGTGGGGCAAACGCCTCTTACCCTGGCACACTGGAGGGTAGGGGCAAAGTGAATCTATGAACTCAAGGTCAGCCTGCTCTACACAGTGAGTTCCAAGCCAGCCAGGGCTAGGTAAAGAGACCCTGCCTCAAATAAACAAACAAACAACTCTTCCCTTAAAGGTAAATTCTTCCCCAGTGCATCTCTTTATGAGCCAACAGTGGAAAATTTTCACCTTAACAAGCTGGCCCGAGACGCTTCAGCCCATCCTTGTTGCCTAGATACCAGTGACATCTCTGGGGCTTACAGGAGGCCCTGACCTTCCCAGCAAAGGAGCCTAAGATTCATCAGTCAGCGATTACTCCCTCTGGCATAGTCCAGTGTTCAGATACTTGGTTGTATAGACCAGAATCTGTCTCTCCCCAGTAAGCTCCAAAACACAACACAAGTCTATTACATATAATAAACTGGTTTCTAAAATTGTAACAGGTCTAGTCTACTTACACACTTGAATTTTACTCTTAAAAAAATCAGAATGTAGGCAAAGGCAAACCAGTCTGAGTAACAGCCAATGGTTTAATCAACTTGACTCACCCCCCCCAATTTAAGAGGCAATCATGTCAAGTGTAACTATTCATTTTATATTTCTATCTGTGACAGTGGTTGAAATTAAAACAAAACCCTGCAATTATACATTTTCCATGGCAACAACTTAGTGAATAAGCATTTTCCTTCTCCTAAGATGTCATGCCGGGAGAAAACCCTTTTGTCTGCAACATTTTTGACATGTTAAAAACTTTCAGTATTTTTTTTCCTTTTGGGTTTTTCTATTTTGATAAATACTTATTTTTTTTGACAATTTCAAACATGTATACAGCATATTTTGATCATATTCATTCCTTGACCACCTCTTACCCTCTTTCCACTTCCTCTAGAACCCTCCAGTACTTTTCCCCAAAACTATTCGAAATTATTTTGTCCTTGCTCTATGAACATTTTGTTAACAATGTTTATTTACAAGCGATGACTAGCTCTATTTCCTTTGGCATGTAAGAGCACTAGATTTCACTAGTTCCTACATTTTCACTCATTTTTCTGCTAGTATAGCTTTCTTGATTTAAAATCCTAACACGAGACAAGTCATCAGGAAGAATGCAGAAGACAGATGCAGCCTTGTTATCAAATGTGAAAGAATATCCCACTCGTGGCAGAAACATCAGTATATAAAAAAAGGCATCTTCGGATCCGTTTTAATGTCTTAAAAAAAAAAGTAAGGTTGGATGCGCAGATCTCCCTGCCCCCCAATCCAAGATGAAGTGACTGGCACAACTGACGTTCAATACCCAAAATGGCTGCACGTCTGCGGGCCCAGGTAACAGTACCTGAGGATCAGGGATGACCCCTTCATCCAAAGATAGAGACCCCATCCTCAGTGATCTGGGAGGTGGCGGCCGGGGGACCTCAATGAAACAAAAGATCCTGCCTCCCGGTGACCGCTTCAAAAACAGAGAAAGATACTGTCGTTGTTCCTACTCCCCCGTTCCAGCAGACCCTCTCCAGTGCCATCCGCTCACTGCGGACACTAGCATCTCCCACGACCAGATGACACAATGCCCCCTGCAAACCGGAGGAGACCGCTTCACAATGACAGCTAGAGAACCCCTTCTCCAAACAATCTGCAAGCCCCCAGCGATCAGCAAGCCCGTCCGCTAACAGCACCGAAAACCTCCTTCCTAAAGACCCGGGCAGACAGGGTCACGGGCCCGGTGGGGCGGGCGTTACCTGCGGCCACAGCCCAGTCCCGCGACGCTTCCGTCCTATTGTTTCTCTTCCACCAAAATGGCTGCGGCTGCGCTCAGCCCCGCCCCCCGAGCCTCGCTCCCGGCGCCCCTCGCTATTGGCTCGCACCCGAAGCCGCGCAAGCGGACTGGGCAGCCTGAAAGACTCTGTTGCTAGGGCGCCGGGATTCGCTTCGGGGGCTTCCGGAATGGGCGGGGGGGGAGGGGCCCGTGCAGGCAGGGGGCGGAGCGTTGTCCTGGTGAGGAGGGTGGCCAGTCTGTGGCGTAGTTGAAGTAACTGATGGGCTGTGTGCCAACGGGTCCATTGCCGAATGCCCAGGATACGTGTAGATGAACAGGCAGTCCTGGTTTGCCCTGCACTGGGAAGCTTCCTAGGATACAGGAATGTCAAGGCCAATCAATATTCATTCTGTGACAAACTGCAAAGCTGGTCACCCTAGCAGATGGATGGACAAAACTGCACGTGAACAGTCGCTAAGATGGATACAGGGATAGCGATACAGAGCGGACAGAAGAATGACTACAGACGATGGAGAAATAAATGACTATAATGATGGCTCAGCGAGTTAAGGGCACTGAGATGACGCAATCTTTGGGACTCATGGTGGAAGGAGAGAACCAACTCTCGCGGGTTGTCCTTTGATCTCTGCAAAAGCATTGTGACAGACTTATGCTCGCCCCCACCTACACACACACTATAATAATTTTTAAAAATGGTTATTTGACAGATGAACAGTTGATTGGACAGGTGGACAAAACAAAAGCCATAGGGTGCCGGAAAGAAGAGTGGATTTAAAGTCCTCTGTAAACTGGTGGGTCTGAAGACAGGTCTATTACTCTCCGAAGCATACAAGTTACATAAGACTGCTTTGTCCTGGAGCCTGAGTTATTCAGGAGGACTCTGGCCTGAACGAGTAAGTGTGAGGTCAGGTACGTGACAGGTACCACTGACACCGGGACGAACCTCCTACTTGGCCACTAGCCTTTCCCTAAAGAAGGTCAGTGTTGCAACTCTGCATCCTGGGCATTTGCAAAGGTGTAGCTCACACATTTTGAAACTCAAGTGTTTATTGTTAAGTACTTACACTTTGCAGGAAATACAGTAAACAAAAATGTGTATTTTTTTAAACTCCCTGATCTCTTAGAGGTGGACAAGAGAGACTTATATCATCAGCAGATTCCTCTTGGACTCTCCTTCCTTGGCGAATCTCCTTCTGCGAGGCTTTCATGGCTCTATGCTTACTAGACTTCTTCTGATTTTTTATTTTTACACCTTTCCCTCTGTCTATACCCACTTACCCAGGCTCATGGTTTTGCTTTTAAAATATTGATTGATTTGAGTAGTGATCCCGCTCTGTAGCTCAGGCTGACATCAAAATTAAGCAGTCTTCCTGCTCCAACCTTCCACAGGCCAGGATTTATAGACATAAAGCAACAGGCCCAGTTGTCAGGCTCATGACTTCAAATACCAGCTTCATGTTAACCAACCCTAAACATGTTTGCGCAGTTCAGTCTCTTCCTGAGATTCAGCTGTTGATAGACAACCTGCACTCTGGCTTTGCGTGCCCCTTGACTATTTTTGTTTGTTTTGCCTTTATCTGTTATGCCAGGAAGTTGTCTGTCTCAAGAATAAGGTCACTGTTTGATGTGACCTCGACTTCCATATCTAAAGCCCTACACGTCTCTCCACAGTTCTCGCCCAGTCCCTTGTTGTTCCCCTCACTGCCTTCAATCCACTCTCCACACATCAGCTTATGATTTAGTAGCCACTCCCCAAAGATGCTCCAGAGCCAACTAGATCCTCTGGACTCCCTACACACGCTTACCTGGGTCTCCATTGCTGGCCTCCAGGTCAGCCTCTGAGCATTCTTGGCTCTCCTGCCCTGTGCAGCCTCTGGCTCAGGGATGGCGCTCCTGCTGCTCTCCACGCCTGAAAGCCCCAGCACTCACACATGCTCTCACTTCAGACGGTGACTTCCCTCTTTGTCCCTCTCCCCCATGCACTGGGCATTGCCTTTCTCGTCTCTCCTACTCTACTTTCCCCCCATAGCAACTATCATCTTACTGAATGTGTTTTACATTCCTTTCTCATACACGGTCTCACGCATCCCTCGATGGTCTTCTCCTGCCTCCAGCTCCCAAGGCTGGCATTACAGGTGTACACTCCCTGGCTTTTTTGTCTGTGTCTTCAGGGCTGCCTGTATCCTAGGTAGGCACTCTGTCACTGGGACTCTATCTACAGCCCGTGCATCCTTTCTAAAGTAGGTGTTTATGATCCTTACACAGTATTGTGGGGGTTGGGTGTGTCTTTGTTTTCTTTAGAGACATGTCCTGAGTACCTCAAAGACCAACTAAGTTCCAGAAATACCTGCAAATTGATTTACCTTAAAGAAGCCACAGGGTATTCAGTGATAAATGCTATAGAGGGGGAAAACTGACAGTGAGAGGTTAGAGCAAGGGGGGACTGTAGATGCTATCCTGGGACCGATGGCTGTGCTGTGCTAGCTCAATCTCAAGACTGTTTTTGCCTCAGGCTAGGCTGGTCTCTGAGCAAGGCCTTTTCTTCTCTGAGCAGGACCAGAATTGGCTAGTCAGTCCTAAACGTCCTGGTTGCGGTCTCCCTTAGAGCAGTCTCATGTACACCCTGTAGGCAATTTCACTCTTTAAAAATTTTATTTATTTATGTGCATTGGTGTTTTGCCTGCATGTATATCTGTATGAGGGTGTCAGATACTCTAGAACGGGAGTTACAGACAGTTGTGAGCTGCCATGTGGGTGCTGAGCTGTCTGGAAGAGCAGCCAGTGCTCTTAACTACTAAGTTCTCTCTCTAGGCCTCTCTTTAATGAACACTCAGACACTTAAGAGAAGTACAACCCACTGGAGACCCACACCCACCTTGCGTAGACAGCCATTTCCGAGAAGAGCTAATCCACAAGGTATAGCATATTCCTCAACAAAATAATAAGATAACTGCCAATCTACGCAGATAGGAGCCCTTCACAGCTGTCTTTCCTGATAAGACCTAACCACCAGGCACTGCACCATTAGAACACTGCCCATGCTGAGCTGTTGGCAGAGTGCTTGCCTAGCGTGCCTGGTTCATTCGCCAGCATCTATGATCTGAATGTGGTTCCACATACCTGTAACCCCAGCACTCAAGAAGTGAGGCAGGGGGATTAGAGGTTGAAGTTCAGGGTCATCCTGCTCTATACAGCAGGTTTGAGGCCTAGGCAACAGAAGGTATCTTTGCCAAAGAAAGAAGAAAGCCCGCTTGATGGCCTACATAGAAATCCCAACATAAAAACAAGACTTTCCAGTGTGTGTGTGTGCAGAATTTCTCCTTCACTACCATGCTTGTACAGTAGCAGTGTATCGGATAAATTTTTATTTCTGTCAATACAGCTGTCTCTTTCTCCTCTTCCTCCCTCTCCTTCCCCCTCCTCTTCCTCCTCCTTCCCATTCTCTGAAAAGTCAGCAGACTCAGTTTGCCCTCAAACAGCACGAGCAAACTTTGATTGGTCTGAGAGGCTGGTGGCCCCAAACCCTGTGGCTTAGTAGTCAAGGTTACAAGAGAATGAGCCAGCCTGAGAATCAGTTTGCATAGTTGAGAGAAGGGAGCAGGATGGACTTACAAAGTCAGGCCCAGAAACTACTTTTAGTGTAAACAGTTTTTTGAAACTGCGGGGCAGGAGACAAGCAGATTGCCTGCAATTGCGGGCTCCATGGTGTGTGATGGTGGTAACGGCTTTAAGGGAACCCAAGAGCAGTGGATTTCTTGAAGGCTTGGGCCTGATTTATGGCTCTGTTTTTTGTCATTGTTGTTTTCTTTTGTAGGGGGGCATTCTTTGCTAGTTCTTTGTTTGATTTGAGTCGGGATCTTATTCTGCAGCTCAGGCAACTCACCACACAGCACAGGCTGACCTCAAAGTAGAGCCACTCCTCTGGTCTTCGCCTTCTGATCGCTGGGATCCCAAGCAGGAGCCACTGCAATGACGTCGATCTTCTGCCTTCTTCTGTCTTTGGTGAATTCTAAGTTCTTTCACAACCTATACAGCCGCCAGCTGTCAGTACCGCCAGCTGTCAGTACTTTCCCTAGTGCAGCAAAGACTAGCCCCAGGGTTGGTCTCAGAAGCCTCCACAAATCCTAGCTAGATTGCTGGGAAGCCTAGCCCAGTTTCTGTCCCTAATACCAGACAGTGGTATCAGCACCTATGACTGCTGAGTAGAGGCCCAACAGGCACCAGGTTCAGGTCCTTACAGGCCATCGTCCCACCTTCTCTTAGCCAAGCTTCCATTCCAGGGCTCCTACATGTGGAGCAGAAAGCTGCACAAGTAACCCTAGCGTAGTGAATTCATTCTCATTTCTTCTGCCAAGTGCCTACTATTGGCTAACATGGACTAGACCCTGGGAATGTGGCAGGGATGGATTTAGCAAGAGTTTTATTGAATGATGGGACTTGTGCCCTGTGAGGTGACGGAATGGAAGACAAAGGCTAGAAGACAAGGGCTGGATACAATAGACCATAACAGAACAAACCTTAGTCCCAAGGCAGGGAAAGATGCCTCTGTGCAGATTACGTCTGAGCTGATTAACCCTGAGGCGTCCTGCTGCACAGGGAATGGCCCAGGGGAACCTATTAGGAGACAAGGCAGGTGATGACCCAGGGGAACCTAACAGAAGATGTGGCAGGTGTAAAGATGCTGAGGAAAGAGCAAGTTTGGCTGGGAGAAGGAATGTGATCTAATGGAGAAAATAGCCCCACACTCCAGGGAAGGAGGCTCATTGCTCAAAAGCATTAGGCATCAGAGACCTCAAGGTCAGGCCCAGGCAAACCACAGGAATTCCAGGGGAGAAAAAAAAGGGGGGGCTGTCAAAACAGAGGCAAGCAAGGGCTGTCAAAACAGAGTCAAACTACAGAGGCAAACAGAAGGAAGGCTGCCCCCTGCCCCCGCAAAGGGGAAAGGAAAGAGAAACTCTTTTAAATGTTTTAAATTTTATTTTTATTTATGTGTGTGCCTGCTTGTCAGCGTGTACACCACGTGTGTGCAGTACCCACGAAGCAAGAAGAGGATCATGGGTGCTGGGAATCC